TACATTTGTTTATCTTGTCTGATAAATTAGAATCTGGGTGCAAATTAATGGAAATCTCTAATACTAAGTAATAGATGAAAAGAATCAAGGCAGATTTGGGTTAATAATATATCATCTTCTGATAACATTCAAAAGATGCAGCAATGGTAAAACACCTGACAAGTAAACCTGTATATTTGTAGAAAAACAAGGGTTACTGTAATCATGGTTTTCTTTTTACTTTTTTATGTCCTTCTCAATGCAAAATCAAGACATAGCGAATATGCAACTCCTATTTGTATCATACTAAACAATTGTTACAACGGTTACCGTGAATTTCACACCTTCTTTTCCCCTCATAGCATACCATGTGATGAAGAGAAATGCATTTACAGTACCATGTTTGTGCAAAATCAAACATCGGCCGTCCCCATTTTGGACCCCGTGAAAATAACGGTCTGACTGTGCTCAAAATCTGATACGTGCATAATGGCCTTTTGATGTTTCTGTGCTGCTTTGCTTTGAATGATGAGTCTTGCAGAACTTCTCAATGGAATTTGGAATAATCTTAGAATGATAAATCTTTTCTCTACAGGGATCTGGAGTTACTTAAAATAGGCCCAAATGCATTTTTCTCACATACACATTAAGCTTGCAAAGTGCAGAATTTATACACTCGTGTTGAAATCATACATTAAGACAATGCACCACCAATACTTCATCTACTAGTATGTGTCGGTGCTAGTCATGTCACGTACATGCAATGTACTTGTCAACCTCTTTTTAATCTGTTGAACAATATATACAATTCTGAGATTGTTACTTCAAAATGCATTCTGCCTCTAAAACCACACACATGGCTACTAGAACTTCAATGCTATATATATAGTGTCATTTACAAAATAACAAGATACTTTCCCATTTTCGTTACTTTCTTGTCAGTGACGTCTTGTCTCTGAGATCAGGAACAAGTGTCATCCTTGCCAACAAAAACATACTATATTAGACATTCTTTTTTAATAAAAGAGCGTGTTCTTACCATTGTGATGTGTGAAGTTCTTGAGGTAATTATCTCTCTTCTACTGGCAAATAGTTTAACAGAACGTTGGCTAAGTGCCAAACCTATGTTACCACTACTACACACAGAACTTGAACTGGAGGTAGGTCACAGTTTGCTTATATTTTCCCTATTACTGACGTCTGTTTTGTCTTTCCAGCTTGTTAAGTGTCTTGACAAGTGATATTTTCTGACTGCTTGGAAGTAAACTTCAGGGCTTACTGTTAACAACAAACATTGCCAGAAAATTATACGTTTTATCATCTCTCCAGTAAAACATCTTGGCAAGACTGTAGTTTACATGTCCAATTATTACCAGCAGTTGTTACCGCCGTGTAAGGAGGTATTATTTTATTTATTTCTTTATTCAAATTATTTTGGATGTTTCTTTGTTTGCATGAGGGTTATGTGTGTTCCTGTATGTGTCTGTACAGTTGAGTGACAGAGAACATGGATGGGGGAATTTCTTAACCACAGACAACAAAAGATCAGACACAGGAAGTTAGGTCCCAGAATCTGGCTGGAAGCCAGCAGGTAGTTGGCCTAGAGTCTGTTGGCCAGGTGCCAGTGGAAAAAAAATTAGATGGAAACAGAGAAATTTACAATACTGAATAAAAAAATTCATAAAATGCAGGGATGAAATCTCTTCTTTGAGGAGAGTTTGCTGGTTGGTTGATTGGTAAGCAGGATTTACAAGTGATGTTTCAGCTAAAGGATACTGCATACCCCCATCACAACCTCTAAGTTCATCCCAGTCCAAACTCTACCATAAAAGATTGCAGCAAATAGCTGAAATACAGATCAAGGCCTCTCCCAGCATGTATATTCAGTAAGATTCAGGGCAGACAGTTTGACTCATCCCACCCTATAGATTGAAGTGACTGACCTGGAGGAGAGTCACTCTAAGCCTTTGAAAGGGTTCAAAGAAGAGTTACGTTCTGGAACGGGCAGAGTTTTTAGAGACAAAACAGGGTAAATCTGCCTCACATGACATGACTTGACTTGCAAGTGTGGGGAGAATACTAACGAAGATGGGATAAGCTGGTTCCCAGTGGGACCAAGTGTCCACTCAGCATATTATAAATATTGAGGTGCGGTTACATGTACATAGTGGAAGATAAAAATTTGGCTCTACAGCTCAATATATATATATACATTCTGATATATCTTCTTTCCATGTTCGAATGATGACAAAATTAGCCTAACTAAATCACACTTCTAGCAGCCCTTCCACAAGTTAGGCCCCTAGAACTTAGTAGAAGTAGGCCCAAGCAGCCCCAGACAGCCAGAGATTAAGCTAACACAGGCTAATCACAAAACATTTTCTCATCTCCAATTCTTTGGTTCAAAGTATGGAATTGAAGCAAGAACTTATTATTATCTATGTCTATAAACAGCAGAAAAGCAGTGACCAATCTTCTATCTACAGCTTGCCTGGGTACCATCCATATTTGTTGCTCCACTGCACTCTACATGTACATGTAAGTTTAAACTTAGTCAAACCTCTTGTCCGCACCTGAATGTTTTACACATTTCGCAACATTTGGATGGTTAGTGCAGTGGATGTGACAAATATGAATGGTACATACACGCTGCTAATATATACAGCCCAAAGGTACTGACAGCACCATTTGTCATCTGCCTGCTCCTGAATTATGCCTACTGACCTGTCTGGTCACCTCTACTATGTAACCTTCAGTCTGCTGTAACTATGTACAAGGTTTCCATTACAGCTACACATACAAGGCTTCCCCTGCTGATTCAAGATTGATGTTTCAAAAGTCCTGGTCATAGGTCACTGTGCATTCTGTAGGGCATTTGCCCATTTTTGCCTAGCACTACAATTTTTTATCAAACTGGTCTGTAATAATATTATAAATATATATGACTTTTGTTGTCTTTATGTAATATATTTAGGCACCAACTTCTGCAGGGATAGGTTTAAAACATCTATTTTCCAGATTTCCGGTGATTTCCCAAGCTCAAAGTGACCAGTCTGACCTCAGCATATATATACAACCCTGACCTAATTGCCTGAGGCCCTCATTCCAAATATGGCATTCCTATATCACGATGTTGGCTTCCAATCCCACTGTGGATTAGCATACCCCCTGCAGTTTCAATCTCAGGGTAGCTGATGAGCTATACTTGGTATAGACCACAGACCAATATTTATGGCAGGGGGGAGACAATAACTGTAACGTATGACTGAATTTGAAGAAATTTGACTTGCCAAATCCTACTGAATGATAGCTCCCATCAACTCAGGTCTACCAGTCTTTACCAAGCACGTCGGCAGAACGTACTGCGCCTGCGCAGAACCCTGTATTTTCACGGTTTTGAATGGATTTTTGGTCAACGTTGCATCAGAATTTTGCCTGTTGCAGAGGATATCTTTTCCGACACAACATTTGGAAACTACAGACGAGATGTTTTCCTTATATGCACAAATACAACCTTATATGAGACGTTTTGCCGAAGTGCTTTGTACAATACATTACGGGTTTCGCTCAGGTGCAGTGCGTTCTGCCGACGTGCTTCTTTACCAGTACTTTTATATAGGAGGGTCACAGTACTGATAGTTCTCTACAAGTGTCTTTCAAAGGACATACCTCCAGTGATATTGGAAGAAATAAAACGTGATTCCAATGTGCTTTGTATGATCTTAAACTACAGTCACACACTTCAATTTAAAGTTATCTGTTTGTGTGCACATAAGAGTAAAATTTTGCTATAATTTTTTTCACCTGCAGGGAATGGGACAGCAAAGCCAAGTGCACTTAGGAGCAACTGTATGTGACAGTATTGTAGTGCTCTCATATTAGAGTCAATTCAATTCTATATTACCAAGACAAGGAAAGTACATGTTGTAATAAAATTTGAACACCTATCTTTATAGTCACGACGATCATAAGGGCGGACAATTTGGGTATACATTGTGGACCTTTGTTGTGTTTGGCTGGACCCATCTCCAAACTTACCACAGACCTTGTCTAAACAAACTATGTGGGATCATCTGAGGGCTTTGTTGTTTGAGTCAACTGTTTTTTTGACAAAATACTGTGCTCTTCTCCAAGACACCTTTCTAATCCTTTGAAAAATGTTGACAAATTCCAGCACAACAAGACAGACTAGTGTAGCTTTGAATTCTGCTTCGTTTTACATTTGTACTTGTTGATGAGATATGTGACATTGTATATTGTAGAAACTTGCCGCATGTTGCAATTTGAATACTGTGCTTACAGTTCTTCTTCCCTTCTGTACTACATGTATATTGTATACCTTGGACACAACAAGGAATCTGCCTTATGTCACTTGAAGACAGGCTACATTACAGTTAAACAAAAAGAAGTTGTCAGTTGAAAGGATACCAGACCAAATGCTCTGTGTTCCTTACAGCTCATGAGTTTTACCCTCAGGATTTCCCAAATTTGATATGAAGATACATGTATTTGGCAGCACCTAGCTTGGATGCAGCTATTGGTATGAATTTGTACCAGGTGCACGTACTACATGTACTGCTTGCTTGGCTGTCATCCTGATGGGTTCATGTTTGCTCTTCTAGTTCCCTTTCGGAAGTAGTGTAGCAGATGTAAACTTTACCAGAAGGGAAGCTAACAGCAGACATAAGCTAACCAGGATGGCATGCAGGCAAGCTGCCAGGTAATATACGGTAAGGAAGATAACCAGATTGTCAACCAGTCATCACATCTTTCCCCTGAATTCCCCTATATTACATTTTCATCTGGCCTTGCTTTCCACCAATTGAATTATTTCATTGTTCATTTCACACTAAACATTGTTAGAAATTAGAATCTTAGCAATTCATGCTGAGTCACTCCTTAATAATCCATCAACTGTCACTTTCTACCGCATCGCCATATAACTAAAGGTATTAGGACAAGCAGAGACACAAACCCACAATTCAGTTACCAAAATACTTCTGAACCTGTGGAAAACCCACCTTGTCAATGTGCGCTGATCTAATGAGCCCCTCGATAGTCCTGATGGCGTGGAAGTTGGTAACTCGGACTGTCGTCCTTCTCCCCACATCCCTCTCATACCGCTTGACAGGTGCGGTGTTAGTCCTGAATACGCACTCGTGCGAGTCGATGTGGGGCCCCGCGTGTCTTTTAAGCACCTGTCCTGAGCTCGACACAAAGGCACACGTCCTACAATGCATCCTCAGGTGCTGCTTCAAGTTCCTGATGTTCTCAAAGCTAGGGAGAGGGTCTGCATTCTGGTCATATGGCTGGGGGATGGGGGGTGCTGGTGTGCTCGTGGTGTTCGCTTTCGCTTGACTACCTGAGGTGGAATTTTTTAACAACATTGGTGACCTTGTGGGCGACTTTTGCGGCGACCTTGTGGACGACTTTTGCGGCGACCTTGTGGACGACTTTTGCGGTGACCTTGAGGGAACTGTCCTTGCTGTGGAATTCCTTGATGGAATCTTGTCCATAGCGCTAGCAGCATTGGTGTCATTTCTTAACAGCAAGATGGGATTGACTGAAACTGTTCTGAGAAGTTGTTCTGGTCTCTTGGTTATTTCTGAAGAGTCGTTGACCAGGTATAGCCTGATGAAGTAAGGACGGATGCCGATGGCATGCCGGAGGTTGTCTGAGAAGTAAAGGGTGTAGGATAGCAGCAGGATCAATCCAAAGGCAACAACCACCTTGAACACTGAGAAAATCTGAAACAGACAGGAAAAAGTACATTAGACAATTCCCATGGATTAAACATGGGAGAAAATGACATAACAATTTTATTTTAGTTTACAAAATAAATCAAGTAACTGGATGAATTCTCAAAAAATTCTATATCTAAGTTCAAAATGGCAAACAAGCAATACAACATAGGTTTTATAATTTTTTTTGACACTAAAATATGAAGATTACTCTGTATGTAAGTGCATAGTAGTTCATGTACAAAACCTACACAAACACATACATGTAGGTGTGTCAGTATACCTACAGTCAAAATACAATATTTCCATCCCTGTGAAATCTGTGATAAATTGTGACCTTCATTCAATCTACTGATTTCCTTTTCAGGACCAGGGAAATATAGATTCTGGACAGAAGCAGTGCATCAGCCACTTTGCCATGAATAATGCAGTCACTGACTCCATGTCTGACTCCTACTGTCTGTGTCCCACTCACAGCCATTTGTAGCTATATATGTACAATATTTAATATAGGGAGTGTTTCCAGCAAATAAAACAGTCATGCAGTCATGAACAGATACATGTATTATAAATTTAATAACCTTTATTGTACATTCATGCCCTATCGGGCTAAGTACAGGTGAACAGATGAAAAGGTACATACATGTTTGTAGTACAAAGAGCTCTAAAATTACTTTAATACAGATGTTCGGCTTCTTCTCGTTTGTTTGTGATATTAAAAATATAAAAATATTATAATAAGGATTGGGGCTGAACAATGATAAATTGTATTCCTTTACTAGGTTATTACAAGACTGTTTTCCTAGAATTTGACAATGCATGAAAGGGAAGCATTTCTTTCCAAATGTTACAAGCTTGCCCATAAATATAAATATAACACCATGTGGTGTATCATCATCATCAGGTCGGGGGTGGTTCCCGGTCCCAGACTCTCTCCCTCCAGTCTATTCTGTCCGTGGATATATATATACATGTATATATTCATGAGCTAAGCCCAAATAGTCATTGTTGAATATAGTATTTGCTAACAAATAATGTGAGCAGGATATGAATACAGCTGTTTGAAATGTGGTATATACATACATGTATATATTCATGAGCTAAGCCCAAAAAATCATTGTTGAATATAGTATCTGCTAACAAATATGATATGAATACAGCTGTTTGAAAGAGCGCCTAATGTTATTGATTCCTGTTATTTTTGGTACCATATACAGATGTATACCATACATCAGACCAAAGCTACCTTTTCAAAGTAAAGACAAGAAATCAAGGAATTCACAAGGAATCCACTCTGTGGATTATTTAGAGATGTTTTAAATTCCTTGTTGTTTTTTTCATTATTGTGAATTTCTCAATAGTTCTGCATTATAATTCTTATGCATTTTTCCAGTATAAGGCCCAGATCACAGTGGCTATGAATATAGCAGGATCAATCTTTAAAATGACCTTTCATATGAAAATGCATTTCCTCACAGCCTGGAGGGAGACCATTTTAACCTCCAAAGTCCAATGCCACCTTCTTCCAGTCTGCGGTTACCCCTCTCTTCCTATACATGTGACTCTACTGTATTCAAACAGCTACAGACATACAAGCAAACAAACAAACCAAACAAACACATTGAAAGCAAAACCTCCATACACGAAGGTAACAAGGCAAAATTGGGAGGGATGTTGTCAAACTATACTCCTGCCTCCTTCTGCTTTGTATCTTCTGGAAAAGCCCTGCTCTATTATTGATTTACTTTGCAGACACCAAATACTAGTACCTCATCAGCCCATATCTCTTCCATCCAGCACACTGCCTTAGAGAATAGCCAGGAAATTAATAAAAAAAGACTACAGTAATTTATCCTACAGTTGATTTCCAGATAAATGCTTCTCAAGTAACTCGGTTTCTTAAAGACAAAGATGTCTTGAACTCCTTATTAATGAGATACATTACTACACAGTGCTGAAAGGACACAGCAGATTTTGAAGTTGCCTTTATTTTTCCCTAAGGTGTAGTGACCTCTGAAATACATTTACTACATCAAGGTTACAGGATTCGATTTTCCTTTCTTTCCTTTGAGTTAGTTTTATGGCCTGACACTAATTGATTTTTTATGACCAGTCTTCAATTTCATGATTGACA